GGAGATGATCCCAAGTCCCTCCTCTTGTGAAGAAACAATGCTATTGTGTAAAATTCTTAAGGTGAGCACAAGCACTGGGCTTCACACTCAGATGGTTGTCCCCACTGGTGCCTAGAGATTTTTTAACTTTCAGCAAGTTACTGAAACCTCTCTGTACCATTTTATCATCTATGAGGCAGATGCAACAAGCAAATTTACACCTCAGAGGGTGATTACGAGGATTAAAGAAAATTATTTATACAAAGATTTAGCTCTATGCTCGCTAATTAGAGCTTACTATAATTAACACCAACAGAGTGATCACGAAGGGCCAGGCACAGTCCTTCGAGTTTGGCACATATCAATTCATTAATGCTTACACCCATCCTAGGTACAATTATTATCTCCATTTTACAGATGGGAAAACATGCACAGAGTAGTTAAATGATTTGTCTTAAGTTCCACAGCTAGTAAATTGCAGCCATGGTCTTAAGAGCAGTATTATTACTACTACCATTACTACTACCATTACTATTAGTATTGAATGCCACTTCCTGTCACTTATACAATTCATAGTCAATATCCTGTAGTAATCTATAACGAAAAAAATATGAAAAGGAATATATGTATGTATATGTATGACTGAAACATTATCCTGTACACCAGAAATTGATGCAACATTGTAAACTGACTATACTTCAATTTAAAAAAATAGAAAAAATAAAAAAAAAAAAAAACCAGAACACTTGTCAGGAATTTTCTTTTGCACTGCTTCTAAGTGCTGCAAAGTGTACTAAAAGAATCCTGAAGTTAGCCAAAATAAAACTAGTCTCTGCTGTTTCCTTAACTCCTTTTCAAGGTAAATTGACGGACAGATAAGGGCTGCTTGTGGACTTTGCCCATCTAGTCCTGGAGGCAGAGGGTGGCTCTAGAGAGGTCCGGGCAAGAGAGACCTGGGAGGGGCCAGGGCTGTGGGAGAGGGTGGTGTGAGGCAGGGGGTGGAGTCAGGGGACAACATTCCTCTCAGGCAGGGTTTGGTGGCTGCTCCCTAGCTGGCCTCAAAGAGAAAAGTTGACAGCACTAACGCAACCCTGCAGGGACTGAAGGCAGCTGCGTCCTCTGTTATAGTCCTAACTCTTGGGGCTGAGCCCCGGGTTTGGGTCTGGATCACTGGGGGCGTCCAGCGAGGAAGGAAAGAGGCAAAGCACTCCCGCCAGGCACCGCACTGCATTCACCCGCTCTGCCCACTGGTGGAGTCTCCTCACACTTCTGCCAGAACCCTGTGACTTCAATGCTCTCTGCGGTGACTGTTAACATGAAAACTATATTGACTACATGTGCCTGTGGGTACGTATTCAATTTACTTTAAGGAGAACAATGCTGGGAGGATAAAATCTCCAAAGATGCTTCGATAGTAGGATTTTTTTTTTAATTTAGCAAAAGATATACTATATTCATTTTCTTTCAAATAAGCAAACAAACAAAAAAACCCTAACATCACTCCAACAGACACATTTAGGAGTAATTACATAGTCTATTTTCAGCTCATTTGGCATAATGTACATGAAATGGTCTTTAATTGCCACTCTTTTAAGCAAATAATTCCAATAAGCGCTGGCAGAATCATGGCAGGTAATCACATTAGGGTGTAGGTGGAGGAGGCAGGAGGAAAAAAGCAGTCAATAGCACAAATATTTTAAAAATTAATTACAACCTAAGTTTTTTATTAAAAGCTCTTATATAATTTATATCATGCCTTCTAAGGTAAAAACTAAGTGATAACCCCTTCCTTCCAGGGATAAGTAACTTCTTGTCTTCTGAGGGCTTCACTAAGATGCTCCCGTCTCTTGCCTTCCTTGGCAAATCCCTGTGTCTTCCAAAAGATGAAGAGCTGTGGGGAGCCCACCTAAAATATAGAATGTACTGCAAAAAGCACTTCCCTTTTTCTTCTGCATTGTGTACACCTCAATTGTGGGAGTATTAAAAGCAAAACACGAAATGCAAACATTATCTCGGCTTTCTATATTCTACTTGACCATGAAATCATTTTTTTCCAACCTCCTCATTTATCATCTCTTTATTCAATAAAACCCATTTTGCCTATCACAAAATGCAAACAATGCAAGTTGAACTAGAACTGTTACTGTTTTAATGAGCATGTGGGCCATCTTTCTGAGTGGATGCCTTTTTAGAATACTCCCTTGAACCACCTGAGAAAAAAAGAAGATTTTTGACCAACATACTAGCCTAAGAATTACAGACAGTCATGGAAGATTTTAATTAAAGGTCTGGGCAACACTTTTAACACAAAATTTGCATATGGGGAGCAGGCTTGTGCTTAAGATACAAAACCCTTCAAAAATAGCCGAGGTGCACTTAACATTTCCAGCAGATAAATGCATACTACCATCACCATGTCAATATTCATCACTTGTGACTTATTGTATGACTTGTTTCCCAAAACCAACTTTATGCTGTGGGGCCTTACTGTTCTTAATAAATTTAAATTTCAAGAAATAACTATAGAAAGACAATATAATTAATCAATGGGAAGTGAAATGCTTTTTCATACTGGCCATTAGCATCACAGAGGTGAAAAAAGAGTGATATCATTTTACAAAAGCAGATAAAATAGCAGATAGTAGTGTGTACAATGTAAATATCTGTTATGCAATTGACAAGCACAGGTCCCAAATCGAGATGAAAGTTACAAAGCAAATGCACATCACACTTTGAAAGGCAATATCAGATACATAAAACTTTCTTCCAATCACAAAAACCTGTACACTTTAAGGAAAAAAGTTCAGCTGTCTAGTTGCTAGCTGCAATTGGCATATGAAACTGAAGAGGCCAGCAGTGACATAACCCAACACTTCTGCAAGGCAGGGAGCCTCCTCCACTGGCCTTTCCAGTTTAAACCTTGATTTTGAACCAAGCACACCTTTCCAAACTTTAGAGGGATTCTCTAAATCATCTAGGGTGATTTCCTTTGTAATGTCAAAAACACTTGCTCTTCAAGTTAAAGTAACTTTAGTCCCTAAGAAAACTATCACCTACTGCTTTTTAAAAACTATTTCAAGAACAGTGCAATCTACCAAAATATTATGGGCAGGAGGGTGCCTTTTTTTTTTTTCTTTTTCAAAGATGTGTGTGGCCTCCTGGGCAAAAGTCACCAAATTCCCAGTGATTTGCACCACTACTGATAGCCTGCCTCAGAAATAAACGTGTCCCTTTGCCAGCTAATACTTAACCTCTTTAAAGTTATCAAATGCAGCATAAGCTAATGAAACATTAAAAACCCATTCCACATAACACCTGGGTCACTAACTTCGTGAATGTCCCACCTAACAACTAAAACTCCAACCTCATCGCACTGAAATGACAATCTTATGCTACATTCAAAACCCGGAACTGCTTCATCCATTCGTACTTCGTACTGACTGACAAAGAGGAAAAAACTAGGGGGGTGGAGGGGGAGACCTTATCGCTTCTAAAGTCATAAAACCCCAAAATAAAGAGTCAGCTCATACTCAGATACCAACAGCGCTACAGCTCCACCAGGGATTAACGGTAAAAGTGAGACCTTTCTGGTATTAACTGCGCCCAGACAAGAATCTTCCCAAATCCAGTTCACACACATTCTGCATTCAACATGTAACAGCCATTCCGCTCACACCCTTACATTTCATGCTAGAATTCTGGTTACCAAAATACATTTCTGCACTCGAGTGGCTGGCCTGAGCTTTCCTGTTCTCTTTGTCTTGTGATCTGCGGGGCAGTTTCTGCCCTTGGGAAGTGAGCGTGAGAGCTGTGGTTTCCAGACAATTCCCCACGATCTCTCAGCACGGGCTTGCACGCTCTCTCGCTCTCTCTAGCCGGCTCCATATTGCCGGGCAAGTCCCTCCAGTCTCGCCCCGGGTCACAAAAAGCTGGATTTCGGGCTGTTCCCAAGACCACATTAAATATGCCTCCAGTAACCTGCCCGGGCCCGGCCGGCACCACACGCCGGGTTAGGGCCACAGGGACCCGCCGCCCCGAGGCGCACTTCCCCCACCCCGGAAGAGGAGGGAAGCAAACTTCGGAGGGCGGGGGCTG